GGACAAGACAACTGACATTTGAAGAAAACTGAATTTTTGTTTTAAGTTTTACAGCGCTTTATTATTTTTGTACTTTTTACACCCAAAAATTTCATCACCTGCCTAGCTACAGTTAAGTTGTTTTAACAAATGTTGCAATGGTAGAAAAAAAATTGTGTGTCTGAAAATTATAGGTACTGGGGAAACTTATAATTTTTTTTAAAAGGGGGTACTTTTTTTTTTTTTAAAGAGGTACTTTATAAAAAAAAAGGTTGAGAAACACTGACCTAGACTAGGAGGAGCAAGAGGAAAGCAACCCCTAGAGTCTACAAGAGAAACCACAAAATGCTAAGTAAGTTGGGGGGGGGCAGGGAATTAAACATAAGAATGGCCAAAAATCCATCTAACCCAGTATCCTGTCTTCGGATAGTGGCTAATTCCAGGTGCTAGGGAACAAACAGAACAGTATTCATCAATTGACGTGTCCCCTGTCACCCATTATCCATTTCTAGCAAAGAGCAGTTAAGGACACCCTCTCTATTCATCCTGGCTAATAGCTAGTGATGGACCTATCCTTCATGAACCTTGTTACAGGCTTTGTAACTCTTCAGTCTTTGCTTTGGACTTAACTATCTTGGGTACTCTTGTATAATCCCTGGGTTAATTAGGATATCTTCACTGAGCTGCAAAGCAAAAAGGAGTCCTACAAAAAGTGGAAACTAGATCACATTACAAAGAATGAACACTAATATGTAGGGACAGAATTAAAAATGCCAAGATACAAAACAAGCTCAAACTAGCTAGAGACATAAAGGGCAAAAGAAAACAATCTACATTAGACGCAAGAGGGATAACAAGGACATGGTAGACCCATTACTCAGTGAAGAGGGAAAAACAAAAACAGAAAATATGGAAATGGGAGAGGTCCTTAATGACTTCTTTGCTTCAGTTTTTAACCTAGAATGTTAGTGGTGATTGAACACCTAACATAGTGAACACCAGTGAAAAGGGGGAGGTGCAGAAGTTAAAACAGAAAAAGAACAAGTTAAAAATTATGTGACAAATTACATGTTTTCATTGAAAGTCCTAGAATACTCGAGCTGAATAAGGAGATATCTAAGACCATAAGAATGGCCATACAGATCCAGATCAAAGGTTGATCTAGCCCAGTATCCTGTCTTCCAAAAGTGACCAAAGCCAGGTGCCCCAGCGGGAATGAACAGAATGGGTAATCTTCAAGTGATCCTTCCCCTTTCACCCATTCCCAGCATCTGATAAACAAGCTAGGGACACCATTCCTACCCATCCTGGCTAATAGCCATTGATGGATATCTCCATTAATTTATCTTATTCTTTATTGAACCCAGTTAAAGTCCTGATCTTCACAATGTACTCTGGCAAGGAATTCCATGGCTGTGTCTAGACTGGCAAGTTTTTCTGCAAAAGCACATGCTTTTGCGGAAAAACTTGCCTGCTATCTACACTGGCCGCTTGAATTTCCGCAAGAACACTGACAATCTCATGTAAGAAATCAGTGCTTCTTGCGGAAATGGTATGCTGCTCCCGTTCGGGCAAAAATCCTTTTGCGCAAAAGGGCCAGTGTAGACAGCGCAGATTTGTTTTGCGCAAAAAAGCCCCGATCACGAAAATGGCGATTGGGGCTTTTTTTGCGCAAAAGAGCATCTAGATTGACTTTTTGAAAAAGTGCTTTTGCGGAAAAGCGTCCGTGCCAATCTAGATGCTCTGTTCCGCAAATGCTTTTAACGGAAAAGTTTTCCGTTAAAATCATTTGTGGAAAATCATGCCAGTCTAGACGTAGCCCATAGGTTTACAGTCCATTGTGTGAAGAAATACGTCCTTTTGGTTCTGTTAAACCTATTACCTATTAATTTAATTTGGTGACACCCAAGTTTTCGTGTTATGGGACCACATAAATACCTTTTCCTCATTTACTTTTTCCACACCAGTCATGATTTTATAGACATCTATTATATCCCCCTCTCCCCCGAGTCTCCTCTTTTCTAAGTGGAAAAGTTCCAGTTTTATTAATCTCCGTTTATATGGCAGCCATTTCAAACCCCTAATAATTTTTGCTGCCCTTTTCTGAACTGTTTCCAATGCCAAGATATATATTTTTGAGATGAGGTAACTACATTTGCACGCACTATTCAAGATGTGGGTGTACCATGGATTTATATAGATGTAATAAGATACTCTCTGTCTTACTCTCTATCACTTTTTAAATGATTCCTTATATTTTGTTTGCTTTTTTGACTGCTGCTGCATATTGAATGGATGTTTTCAGAGAACTATCCACTTTGACGCCAAGATATCTGTCTTGAGTGGCTGTAGCTAAATTAGTCCCCATCATTTTGTACCTATAGTTGGGATTATGTTTTTCAATATGCATTACTTTGCATGTATCTCCTCTCCTCTTGTGGGTTCCGAATGAGTTGCTCCACGAAGCAGTCCTTCTGATTAGGGATGTAAGCAAGTAGGCGAGTACTTGACTACCCAATAAGTCTAAGCAAAGGAGGAGGTCAGGGACAGGAGCTGGTGCAAGGGGGTCTGACATGGACAGGGGCTGCTGCTGGAGCAATCCTGGCCTGCACTGGCCCCAGAGCCAGTGCAAGCTGCAGAGCATCTCCCTTTATTGACTAATCGTGTAGGCGATACAAATTGTAGCAACTACATGCTTAGCCAAGTACCCGCTCCTTACCATCCTTACTTCTAATATCTTTTGTACATTGGTATTCTTGTGTCCTCTTGATTATGCTTATTCCACCAAGTTTCTGGATGACTATTATATAAGTAGCCTCATTTAATACAAGGCATTCAAGTGCACCCATCTTACTATTTAGACTTCTGGGCTGCGTCTAGACTGGCAAGTTTTTCCGCAAAAGCAGGCGCTTTTGTGGAAAAACTTGCCAGCTGTCTACACTGGCTGCTTAAATTTGCGCAAGAACACTGATGATCTAATGTAAGATTATCAGTGTTCTTGCACAAATACTATGCTGCTCCCGTTTGGGCAAAAGCCCTCTTGTGCAAATGCTTTTGCGCAAGAGGGCCAGTGTAGACAGCTAAAAACTGTTTTGTGCAAAAAAAGTCCTGAGGGCGATCGG